TTTAATCTCGATTGTTGTTAACCTTTGACTCGTAGTTTATTCTCGATCTTTTTATTTTTTGACTTATGATTCAATCCAAGTTAACGCCATTTTCTGACTCGCGATTTAATCTTGGTCATTTTATTTTTTGATTTGCAGTTCAATCTCGATCTCTTTAATTTAAAATCGTAGTTTAATCTCGATTGTTGTTAACCTCTAACTCTTGGTTTATTCCCGGTCTTCTTATTTTTTGACTTGTGATTCAATCCAAGTTAACGTCATTTTTTGACTTGCGGTTTAGTCACAGTCTTTTTATTCTCTGATTCAAGGTTCAATCCCGATCTCTTTAATTTAAAATCACAGTTTAATCTCGATTGTTGTTGTTAACCTTTGACTCATGGTTTATTCCCGATCTTCTTATTTTTTGACTTGTGATTCAATCCAAGTTAACGTCATTTTCTGACTCGCGGTTTAATTTCAGTCTCTTTATTCTTCGATTCACGGTTCAATCCTGATCTTTTTAATTTAAAATTATAGTTTAATCTCGATTGTTGTTGTTAACCTCTGACTCGTGATTTATTCTTGGTCTTCTTATTTTTTGACTTATGATTCAATCCAAGTTAACGTCATTTTTTGATTCGCGGTTTAATGTCAGTATCTTTATTCTTTGATTCAAAGTTTAATCTCGATATTTTTATTCTCTGATTCACGATTTAATCCTGATCCTTAGTATTTTTTTACTCGTGGTTTAATCTCGATCTCTTTATTTTTTACTTGTGATTTAATCCAAGTTCAATCCTGATCTTGTTATTCCTTGACTCGCGGTGTCGTTTCGATCACTTTTTTTATTATTAGACTTTTGGTGTTGCCTTAATCGATTCTTTATTTTTCAACTTACGATGTCATTTTCTTTATCACTTAACCTGACCTATAAAAAAAATTTATGATTTGCTTTCGGATAAAATCATTATCTTTATCTTTGCCCTATTCCTGATTTTTAGTAATGTGCAAAGAGGAGTAGCTGTAGACACCGATTTTATCTGCGTCTACTATTTTCTTTTCAGTTTAATATTAATAATTTTAATAATAATAATAAAAAAATATTTTTTTTAAAAATATACTAATAAGAAAAAAAAGAGACAAAAACTATAGGGCTGGTACGGCGTCACTGCTGCCCCTGTCCAACCCCCTGACCAACCACCAGACCAGACAGTCACCCTACCACGCCTATGACCACCATCTATCTCCCTATTTGAAGCTCTTTAAAACTCCCAGCCTCTTCCCCTTCAGACTCTCTCTCGAACACCCTTTTGGCACCAGACACCAAGAGCTTACCCTTCATCACTACCCAACCTCCATTTCAACAAGCTTAATACCCATACTAGCACCCTAATCCAAGCTTCAAACCCATACCCAAATACCCAAACAGAAACACAAAAAACAAAGACAAACAATCCTCCCCATAAGGAGGAACCTCAGTGCCAGAAAGCTCTGTAAACAAGCAAAGAAATCATTAGTATCTTTTAAAAAAAAAAAAAAAGGAGACCGAAAGCTTTGAGCCCTGATCTACGTTGATCGGGGTTGTTTCTGGTAAAATGAACATCAGATCCAAGAAAAACGCATTGAAGAGCGCTTCTAAGAGTATTATTAAAATTTTTTGACCACCGACGGCCACTGGTAGGCCTTGCTAGTGGTGACCGAAGATGTGGTCGGTGCGACGATCCGACGATCAGATAGGGATAGAGCTCTGGAGCTTTCCCTAGAGCTTTTTTTTTTTTTGAAACAGAAAAAAAATAAACAAAAAAAAAATTTAGTTGTATATAAAAGACTAGAGAGCAAAATGACGTCGTTTTAGGCTAAGGAGATCCACGCATGGACCCGATCCGACCCGTCAACCCGGTTCCTTAGCAACTTTGAATCGGTTTGACCAGACCGGATCGAATTGTTCCCTAGACCGGTTCGAACCGCTCCTCAACCGGCTCAATCGAACTGCAAGCCGAACTGACCCTTTTTCAGTCTAACCGAACCTCCGTTGATCGAACCATTGATCGATCTGATTCAGGTAAATTTTTTTTTTAATTTTCTAATTTTTTTATATATTATTATTTTTGTTATTTTAAGTATTTTTCTATATATATTTATGCATGATAAGTTCTTAAATTTGTTACGATAAATTTTTTTTTAATTGTTTTAATAATAATAAAAATGAAAATAAGATGATAATTAAAAAAATATATATTAAAATTACTTAAAATAATAATAATAATAATAAAATTAATAATAATAGAATAATATTATTTTTTCTTTCCAAATGTTGGAGGAATTTTAATATTTTCTAAAAAATTAATTAGCAAAGATGTTGAAGAAATTTATATTAGATAAATTTTCATAAAAAGAAATTATAAGAAATTTTTAATTAGGTTTAAAAATTATTAAATCTAATTGGCTCGAAATTCCTCTAGTGTTGGAATGTTAGAGAGTTCGTATTTCTTATAACGAAACCTTAAAACTAATTCTTTAATTTTCAAAATCTTTAAGTTTCTAGAACCCCATCTTTCCAAACCCTTTAATCATAATTCGTACCTTAAAACCAACCTAAAACCTTAAAATTAAATCAAATATTTAAAATCGTAATCTTGTTTAAAATCTGAAACTTTATATTAAACCTCTACTCAAGCCCTTACTCAAAACATCCTGAAAATCCCAAGGACGCCTGTGAAAATTTCATTTGAAGTAATTTATTCCTGAATGCTGCCTAGATGATGGGGTATTTAGGAAATTTTACCTTGTTAAATCTTTCACACGATTTCTTAATTCGCATTAATAATAAGATTAATAAGTAAAAAGCATAATAGTAAATTGGGATCTTAAATATAAACAGTCACACCTAAGCTCTGCCTAGATGTTGGAGAGTCGAAATGGTCTCATTATACTTAAGAACCCAACTTTTAAATTGCATTTCATTTTACATAACATTCATTAGCATTTATACGTTATCGTGTTATCATCGATAATTTTCTGCATTATTCTCTTTTAATTTACTATTTGATGATAAAATATTTTATAATAAAAAGAATAATATATTTAAAATTTTTTTGTGATATTATAAAATAAAATAAAAATAACATTCCAAAGGAAATAATTCTTGGCACTCTGCCTAGATGTTGGAGAGTCACTAACAATTATCTTCTATAAAGATTGTTATTTTATTTTAAGGATTATCGTGTTAAATCTTAAGCGAAAAGAGTTATTTTAAATTCTGCCTAAATGTTGGAGAATTTTAAAATAATTCTTTAACTTTAAGATTTTTTCAATATTCCTAAATAAAGAGCTTTAGCGAAATTTTATTTTTTCAAAACGAAGGGAATTAATATTAAATTTCAAGTTAAAATCATTTTTATCCAACACCGAAAATAGCGCATAATTAAATGGTACCAATTTATGGGTGTTGTGAAGGTGCTAATCTTTTCCCACACGTAATCGACTCTTGAATTCAATCTGATTTTTCGTATACCAAAATTTATCTTTTTGATAAACTTTAAACCCATTTTTATAATTTTATTAAAAAAATAAATTTTTGGGTGATCAATCACACTCTAACAAAGATTGATAATGACTCATTTTTATTTATTTTAATTTTAAAATTCATTTACATCGACGGTCTTAAAACCGTTACGATAAAATGTCAAGCTAATCATTACTAAGCAACGTGAATCATCAAAATGATTAGCAAAAGAGAGAATTTAATTTACAATACTTGCTGCTTTCTGATTGCATTATGGTAATGGTAAGGCTTGTAAAAAGCAAAGGAAACAATTTAGAAAAGCCTAAAACGACTGTCAAAATTGTGACTTGCAGGAAGAAGTCAATATTGTTTCTTCTCGTATGTTCTCATTTCCAAATTGGTTTTCTCCTTGAGATTTTCTCAGTTAAATGATTACAGGCTAGTGTCAAGTAAGAAAAATCTTGTTAAAGATGCTTTTCTTAAATATTTTCCAAGAGCTGTTACTGGTCAAGCAGTCCGAGTCAGTATATAGTTTTGCCAATGGGAATATGGCTGCATGTCGTTTGAGTTGGTCTTTCTTCAGACAAAATGTTTCATCCACCTGAAATTGTCTCTAACGTTATTCAGTGTATTTTGTGATTTTCAAGAGTGAAAATGGCAATTCATTCACCTGATATTATTGTGTCCTTTCATTGGGGTATCTGCCTTTTCATTACCAGCCGCCACACGTCCTGATCGAAAATGTGACAGATTGACTTGCTGCTTCGCCTGTTTAATTTATGTATTGGTCCAATTCATGGGCAATTTCCAGGCCCTCTTCCATTTTTCATGCTCATCTCCTGATTCTTGTGCATCTGTTTCTTATAATGCGACTCAGTTTGCTTGTCTAAATCTATACTTCGTTGAAAATCACCTTTTTCCACCCAAAAATCTTCTCTCCTTTTAAGTATATTGTGACTCTAACATTTTGCCTGTGATGCCCCCTCTCACATTGAAAAAAAGCATGGATATAATTAATATGATACAAGGGCGAAGTATGGCGGCAAGTAGGGCTCACGGCTCCTCCAAAAATTTTCACCTCTTAGAATATAGTATTTAGACCCACCAAAATATTACTTTGGCATCCTTTCTCCTTTAAAATTACTATTTGACATCTCTTTTATTTGATTCTTGTTTTCACCTCTGATATGATATGTAAGTTAAAATTTAAATCTAAATTTGAAAGATATTTTTGTTAAATAAAATTATAAAATTTTTGAATAAAACCGAATAATACTTTTAAGTTGGATGCAGATTTCAATATTTGTTAGAGTTGTAAAGAAACTTACGAAGTACTCCACTTATTTAGCTTTTAGCTTTAGATTGCAATAGGCATAGCTTTAGAGGCTTTCTTTGGGCTTAACCCTCTGCTCGAACTCCATTAATCTTAAGGGCGTTGCAATAAGTTTTATGACTAGTCATTTTGCTGCTAGCAATACCGAAGAAATTGTAGGCAATGAGATTATAACTTCAGATTTACTAAATATCAAAGATGATTACAAAAATCAATTGAGTTAAAATTTGATTTTAAGTATCAAATGAGTTTAATATAAGAAATATACACACTTGCTAACATATTTAATTTGGAAGGGGCAAAGCTCACTCTTGGGTGAGCCTTAACATTGAGGACTTAACATTGCATCAAAATATAAAGAAAACAAGCAAATCTAAACTTTCCACAATATAATATTGAACAAAACAGTAGCAACTCTTTTAACAGTAAGGATTAATCAGATTTGCTTAGAGTGAATCTAGAAAATTGATCCAATTCTCCACCTCCTCTCCATCTTCCCCTCCATCTCCACCAATGTGGCTCCATTCAACTTGAGGATTCTTTTCAATCTCTTCATTTCTTGCAAATCGTCCTCGGATGCGTGGCCTGCTGTCTGCCAACGTTTTCCTACATGCATACTGAGAAAATCATACATATTCATAAGCACATGATTAGATGAATGAATCAAGTTTCTAAATTCTACATTAACCCGATATAATTATATATTTAAAAAATAACGTCATTAGCATGCGCGTGCATGCACACACATATGTGCACATGCGATAGTTATAGTTTTTCCGAGGACAACGGTAGAAAATGATCACGTCATTCTAAAATGACTTTGGAGCACACTAACTAAATGTTCTTAGTAAAGCTTGGAGTGGACAATGTAATGTCAATCATTTTTAAATACAATAAGAAACATTCCTTAGCTGCTGTTTGTATGGAGAGTAAGAAATTATGAATGACTTTTTCAACTCATGCTTGCTCATCTTTTACCTATTAGGGTATTCTTGATTTCATTTTTGCACTCACAACAAAAAGAGAGCATTTTGCATAAATTGACAGTGACAGACACCAAAAAGTATCACACAAGAGGAAGAAACCTAGCAATCATGCTTTCCAGAAATTAATAATCAGTAGGTTTTTGCCTTTATTGGGGGAAAGGAGAGATATAAATTATTGTATTAAAACATACTTTGGTTAAGGAAATTTATATAATCATGTATGTTACCAATAATTGAATGCAAAATAAATTAAAAATTCAAACTATGAATGAAATTGATTTCATTAACAATTGTTATTTTCTAATTGATTGTATAAATTGAACTTAGAACGATAAAATTAAAATGAATCATATATTTGAATATTTTCGAAACCCAAAATTTTGATTGTTTGTTTAAACTCAAAATTTAAGTATTATTTTGTAAAAGTGTAACAAAATTTAACTTGAACACTAAAAATTTGTTTAACATAATAAAAATTTAATTCGATACGATTCGAATTGGCTTAAAAAAAAAAAAACTAATTTTACCTACATGCAACAATCCATGATAGCTGTAAAAGGAAAAAAAAAAAAAAGACAAAAGGGAATTATAGTTAAGCAGCAGATAGTTAATTTAGACCTTAATCTTCTTTTTGAAGTTCCTACGGCTTCTTTTGCGTCGATATCTTTCAATCCTTTCTTTCTTTTCCTCAGGACTATAGCGGCAGGCTCTGCTCATTCCTTCAATTATAGCATTACTCTCACCTGACAATGGACTCTCTGACCTTCGACCACGCTGTCCCATAAAAATTCCCTGCCCCATGACACAAACGATTGCAAGAACCTTAAACTTCGCAATTAGCATAACAAATTAGTACTTAAATCGAAAAACATTATGTCCGTTTGATTCAATAAATAAGATATAATTTATTTTTTCAAAATCAACAAAATCAAGAATCGGCTTCGAATTAAAATAAAATTGTAAAAATATTATTATTAGAGGCTCATTTGATTTACGTCCCGCTTTTAAAACAGAGGGATTTTAAAATAAATCTACTGAATATAACAAACAATTAAAAAAAACCTTTAAAAAATTTATTTGCGTGAATAAATCCGAAAATTTAAAACTAAATATATATTAGGTTAAGGGAATATTAATTTGTTAATTGAATTAAAAAATAATTAGAAAAAAGAAACCGTATAACGGTTTAAGATACGGGTTGATAAACTAACCTGGTCCAAATCGCCGGTACTAAAAACTCTCCTCACTGGACCAGAATCAGAGTCAACGAACTCGTTGAGGCTCGAGGCGAAATGACAATGAAGTCCACTCTTTTGAAGGGAATGGCTGCTGAGGCTCCTCTGTATGAAACCGGGTTTCTGAGTCGTGCAGCATCTCGCCAGCGAACTCGGCGAGTTGTAACCCCCGCTACTGCTGCTGCTGCCGCCACCGCTGTGAAGCGTCTCGCTCATGGAGTCGAATGACTCGGCCACAGTGAGTTGACTTAGCGGACATAGCGGGAAGTTTATCGGCGACATGGCGTCGGAAGACGTCAGGGAGTCGCCGAGAAACTCGGAGGAGGAGCGTGGGATTGTTGGGTATCCAAACATAGCGCGTAAGGCGTGGGCTTAGGCGCCGGACTGATTTTGATTGGCTTAATTTTGACCTTTTTTTTTTTTTTTTCTCAATCCTAAAAGAAATGAAGAATGGAGAGAGCAGAGGCTGCAGAGCTGCTACTTATGATGAGGAGCCAAGAGAGCTGGATGCTGACGTGGAAGATGACGTCATCCTTCCAAGAGCTGGGAGTTGACTTTTAAATTTTTCTTTTCTTTTTACCAAAAAGTTGTTTTTGAAATGGGAAATTCCAGTTGAAAAACTATACATTTTCTTGGTCATAAATTAAGAAAATTATTATTCCCTCTGTCTCAAAATTGTTTTTTAAAATTATTGTCTCTTACTAATTTTTTGGGTCATATTAATTTAATTTTGACATTTATTTTTAATAAAATAATAAAATATAATTTTTTTTTAAAAAATAAGATTTATAAACTTTAAGTTAAAAATTTTTTAAAACATAATTTTTTTTAAATTTTAATTTAATACTATATTTCAAAAAATAAGGATAAGGTGAAATTATTTTGACAAAAAAAAATCAATAGGAGACATTTATTTTGAGACGAAATGAGTATTAAAATTGATTTTTTATCTTTTAAATTTTAACATGATGTGCTAGTAGATGTGGTTATAGGTTGATTTTGGTTCATACTTAGTATTAATAACTTATATATTTATTCAGATTTAATTTGGCTTGAAATTTTAGGTCTCGAAATTTTTTCAAGCTTAACCCAAATTAAAAAGAATAAATCTTAAATTCATTAGTTAAACTTAATTTATATAATAAAAAATTAAAAATATGATTAAATTAAATTTAATAAATTATATTCAATTGACATATATAAAGTAAAAATAAGAATTATATATAAATTAAAAATAAAAATTATATAAAAATAAAAATTAAGTTTAATAAAATATATAATTTTTATTTTTATATATATGTGAATTAATTTATATATAATTCACATATATATTAAAATTAAAATTTTATATATATGTGAATTTGGGCCGAGTTAAGTCAAGCTTAGACTTTAAATATTTTATCCAATACCTTATCTGAAATTTAAATAGATTTCAAATTGTGTCCAAACCTCTTTAATAAGTTTTAATTATTTATTCTAATCCTCTTAAAATTTGAACGAACGTTTAAGTTTGGATAGATAAACTAACCCTTAAATAGGTCTATTTACTAGCATAATTAAACATTTTTTGGTCATTCTAGATTGCTATTCAAGGCTTTGACATACTATAGAAATGGCGGTATAATATAAACTAATATAATTTAAAATTTTATAAAAATTATATATAATTTTAATAGAAAAATAATATATTTCATATTTAACGTGTCGGTTCAAATTATAACAAAATAATATTTATAATTTATATATATTTAACACAAAATAAGAGCGACATAAACACATAAATTATCATTTTTTAATCACCTACATAAATAAGAAATCATTATAATATATAGAGTTTAAAGTAGAAATATAGTGACTCATAAAAGTGAACAAGCCACCCATCCAAAATGATCGAATATACTTCTCTTTTCCCACATTTCTCTTTTAATTATTCAATAAATTTGGGATGCCTCAATAAGTTAGTTTCCATGCATCAAATACAACATTAAATAATATGGAACTCTTAGAAGCAAAATGATTACCTATTCACCTTTTATGTCGCCAAACAAAAAATTAAGACAATGTTATCACCTTTAATAGACAAAAAAAAAAACATATAATAATGTTTTTAAAAAACATGTAATAGAAGTGAAAAATGGACTCAGTCCTAACAAAAGATTGTCTTTCAAAAGGATATGAAAAAAAAAATAAAAATCGTGCCCAACTTGCATTTGACAGCATAAAAAGAGAATACCCCACATCCACTTTACAAAGAGAGATGGACATAAAAGCATTTTTCAATGCAAACCCCATGTGAGGAGCATATATATAGTTAGAATTGTATATAATTTCTTTATTATTTATAGGGTTGCTAGGGTTGATTTTATATTTTTATATTAGTTAAGATTTTGTTGATGATCAACTAACATAATTATCATTAGAATCACGTAGCATAGCTGAAAGCACCCTTTCAATTTTGGAAAGAGTTGAGTTAGGTTCATGTGATCGAAGGGATCTTGATCATCGTAATTAATACAATGACTTACTACTCCATTTGCTCATAATTTAGAATATCGATGGATCTTTTATAATTTCACATTATAAAAGAAGTTCTTCGAAATAATTTTGGTGAATCAAATAATAATAATTTTATTTTGCAGTGAGGAAAATTTGAATTTAACCTAATACATTTTTTGTCCAAACCTTTTCAAATGGGTTTATTTACATCGATTCTAATGAATTTATAAGAAATTATTTTTTCAAAATGTTTAAATGAATTCGAATTTAAGTAATAAAGAGAAAAACATACTCTCTTTATCACTTAAACTAATCATCCGTTAATAAATTAAATAATTATATTGATGACAAATTATTCTAACTAATTTTCATAAATTAAAATATAAATTATAAAAAGTTATGTTTGTCCATCAATTTAAAAGTTATAATTGTTTACCGAGAATAATTATGGTTAATCATCTATAAAATATTACATTTGGTTATCAAAAGTTATTTTATGTCATAAGTAAATGAAAACATTTCATAAAACTAGTTTTACTATTTTTATCGAAAGGATTTTGAGGCTTTTGTATAACAATCTTTCAAAAAATGATTTTTACATCTCAAAATTAAAAATTTTTATTATTTCTTTATTTTAAATTTTCTAACACCGCTAATTGCTTAATTTAGATTAAAAAAATTAGACAAGGAGTGCCATGGTCCCTTCCAGCAAATCTGTTAATTGTTTCATAGAATCAACATTTTTTGTATAAAAGAAAGGAAAAAAAACTTGCAGCATTACATATGTGTCTTTAAACTTTTGTAATACTTTCATAATTTAACTATTTTCTCACCTTTTTAAAATGTCTTTAGACTGAATATTCTCAAACCTTGTTAAAATGTCAAACTCCAAAATTGGAGATGTGACCCTGGATTTCATGGATCTCTCCTTTGTTATTAGTCCAAAAGCTGTTAGAAACAAAAGGGCCCCATGGAGTCGGAACTCGATGTCTTCCAAGAAAAATATTCTTTAGCTTTCCACATACAGGCCCTACCAATTGCCAAGAGAAACTCATCTCTTTGCTCAACCTGCTGAAAATATATAGTTCTTGTTAGTGCCGAGCTCAAAGTTAAAAGGTGAAAATTTTGAAATCACATAAAAAAAAAAAGTGGTTAAGAGTAAAGGTGAAAAATGTTTTTTGTGTTTATATTTCGACATTCGAGTCAAAATCGAGATAAAAGAAGTCCGAAGGAATGTAAAAAATAAAAGAGTAAAAAAAAAAAAAAATGAATTGATAGTACCTAAATAGCTTTATATATAAGCGGAAGATAAAGGGAATTGTAAAGTACAATAGTGACCTAGCATTGTGTAAATATATCAGATCAACTTAAAAGTAAAAAATGATCTAATTATTTATTGACAGTTTCTAATGAAAAAAAAATAAATTTATCTTTTGAACTTAAAAATACCTTTAATAATACTGATCAGCTTGAAAGTTTTATAACTTGAATCATGAAAATCTATGTTACACTCAGTTAGGTGATCAGATATATGTATATGTCATGGGTGTGTTTATTTTTTAAAATTTTTTTATGTGTCGGACCGATATTTGGGAACAAAATAGTTAAAAATCATTAAATGGATCGGAAAATATGTAGCGATGCTTTGACTCAAATCTTTAACGATGATAAACACGTTGAAAATAACATGAGGAAACTTGAGAACCCTAAAGAACCCCATGAAGAAGGGACCCCAAATCCCCAATAGTAGATTGGCATCTTCTCACAGTAGTAGGTCCAATCTATATCACTTCAAAATGGAGTATCTCTCGGTCTCCTTGAGGAAAACTCAATCACTGGGAAGTGACAGCCACCGGCACTACTTTATATAACGCACTTGTGCTCGCTTCAATGTAACTCCAGTCACTCGGTCCCTGGTTGGTCAGTAACTAGGGTCGAAAGACAATGAGGAACCCACATTCACCCAATTGTCTTTGACAAACAACGAATTTTACATCCATTCTAGTTACTAAACTAATCTCTTTGCTCAACCTGATGATGACAATATGTAGTGCTGATCATGAGCTTAGGAAATTTTCTAACTTGAATCAAATTCGTTTATAAACACAGGTATCCCTTTAACAGTTCTGATCACTTTAGTACATGACAGCACTTTGGTGGCATAATGTTTCCTATCAAAACATAGATATCCTTTAACAGTGCTAAGCTGCCAACCTGATGCACCAAAGTCTTTGGGGCACTTCATTTTCCTCTTGTTATTATTAGTTTGTGTTATTGTTTGTATTATTACTAGCATATAGTATGCAATTACTTATGAAAGAATCCTAATGAATTTTATTTGTAAACATAAACGGATTAAAAATAAATTGTTTAAGATTGGCTTGTTTAACAACGAGTTCTAAAATTTTATTTAAAATTAATTTTTTAATTTCCTAAACAAATATAAACCTAATTTATTTACAAACTATTCATTAATTGCATTGATAATTTTTAACTTTATGCATAAGTCTATGACATTTTCTAAAATTTAAATATAAAACTTTGAATTCCAATTTTAGAATATGGATGAACTTATTTCAAGTTTAAAAGTCATGAAAATAAAAGTTTTCACAAATTTCGAGTAATGTCAATTTCGATATTTTAGCTAGCTATGAAAAATAATGGATGCCTAGCTCCATAAATATTTATACGACCTACTATTGCAATGAAAGGCTTTAATTATTGTGTGGAACATGGGGGAAAAGAAGGAAAAAAGAAAATATTTTGAAGGTGGGTATTTTTTTTTTAGATGAAAAGGTGAATAAATGGGAGAATAAAGATAATGAAAATATGGCTGTGTCGCAGCATGAGCTGGCTCTTTGTAGGGATTGTGATATGGGGTCAAAGGCTAAACAGTTTCACCACTACAAAATGAGTGATTCTGCGAGCCATGCATGT